TTCACCATATGAACAGACTAAAGAAAAACATTATGAGATACAGAAAATGTCACATTTGTTTCTAAAAAAAAAAAAAAAACCTATAGTGAACACTTTTTACACAAACTCATTAAAACCACTACTACTACATTTATTCAACGTTACACTGCAGATCCTAGTTAATTTAATAAGAAAATTAAACGGTATACAAATTCTTAAAGAATATATTTGATATGATTATCTATATAGGAAACAATAGAATATACAGAATAATGATTGGAATTAGAATTCGGCAAGGTGTTTGGATATAAAAGTCTACACAGTCCCCTCAACCTGTCCAAAAAAAACCAATACTACTTCTATATAAAGTTATTAGAAACCTTAAGTCAAATAAAAGACGCCATTTACAACAGCAACAGCAAATATATGGTACCCAAGGCTAACTCTAGTAAAAATATATTCTAGACCTTCAGAGAAAGAAATAATTAAGCTTTAAACAAAGGCCAAAAATTAAAAAAAAGGAAAACGTATATGAATATGAAAGCATTCACTTCATGGAAAAAACTGTCAAGATATCAGTATTCCCTTAACTGACCCAGTTTAAATGTGTTTTAAATTTACTGGGTTCTTCACAAAATTTAACAAGCCGATCCTAAAATGTATAAGCAAGAAAATAGCCAAGAAATTGTTTATAAGTGTAAGATCCATGAGAATTTTTTTGTTTTGCTCAATGCCATTTTCCCAGCACCTAAAAAGTTTCTGGCACATAGCAACTATCTCCAATATATGTGCTGAATGAATTTACCGAATGAACACAGCAGGGAAATTTATCCTACTCTATACAATTTAGAATGGAAACAACACAAGAATAGGCAAAAAAGACTAACGTAACAAGACAGAAGGCCTGGAAACAAATCCACATGAATGAAATTTGATATATAAATAGAAGAGCAGATCACAGGGGAAGGATAAACACTATTCAATAAATGATGCTGGGACAACCGCTTACGCATGTGGAAAAAGCGAGATTGAAGGGAGGGATTACAGAAGGTTCATAAATCTCTAAGCACAGCCTATATTATCTCTAGATTCTTCCTAGCAAAGCCTCACAAGTTTTACATTAAGATGCTATTCTAATTGAGAAAATACATAGTACTTCACTGGGAATGATAATGTACAATACTGTAAATGCTTACTACATGTTAGCTATCAACGTATCTGAGCCCTCAAACTCACCCTGATGTGAAGCCTGGCTTCATCACTTCCTAGCTTTGTAACACTGGAGAAGTAACTTGAATTTGCTTTGTCTTACTACAAAATGAGCCTGCACTAGCACTTACCAGCAAGACTAACTTACTGTTGGGGTTTCTTTTAATCCTTTTAGTATTTTTATTTTAGAATGGCATTAAGTTTGTAGATTAACTATTAGAATTGACACTGTTAAGAATCTGAATCTTCATATCTCAAAATATAGTACGCTTTTCTATTTTTTTGTCTTAAAAAAATTTAATATTTGTTTTTAAATTCTGTATAAAAGACTGTAAAAAAATTTAACACACATTTCTTAAGTGTGTGGAAGTACAGTCTTTTCGTTTGCTGTTCTAAAAGGGGTGTCTTCTTCCATTGTATCTTCTATTTGGTTTGTAAAAACACCATGTATTGCATAAAATACTGTACAACTGTGGAATGGAGTGGAGGCTGGGAATGAGCAGCAATTGATACCATTTTGAAGGAGGATAAAGTCCTCCTTCTCACTATGCTTCTCTCATCTCTTTCCCTGAATTTAAGATGTTCTCTAGGAATATTACAGAAAAGCATTCAGCGAAACATTGACATGTATTAGAATCCCTCTGAGAGAACTTGGTTTTCTTTCCTTGAATAATGCTAAAAGTGACCTCATTATCCCATAGCATGGAATCCAAAAATAGTAGTAAAGGCGGATTCCATAGAATATGTGCAAATTTGAAAAACCTCAGGGCATGTACCTAACGCTATATTTATTTTTCACAAAACCGGAAATAGTGACAGCTTAAAACAAGTAACTAGACTGTTATATAGCTTTTTCAATGCTGCTGCTATTGTGTAATTTTTAGTATTTTGTATATTGAATTTCTATGCCAGGAAGTATGCCACTGTTAACTATTTTACAAGATGCCTAAGTTTTATTTTAAATAAAAAGTAATCACACAAATCAGATTAAACTCAGCTACATAAATTGTTATATGAAAACATTTCAGGGAATATGTGCTCTCTAATGCTGATGAACTTTTAGAAAAAACTGTAAATATACAAACATAAAATTATCATCAAATGTCACCAATTCTTAAATTTGTTTAATAAGAATTTTAAGGGGTAAAAGTTCTATACCTTTATTCCAGCTGACTTGACAAAAATCAAGAGTTTCAGTAAGAGCAAAACATTGTCCTCTATTTGGGGGGTGGGGGACAGGACACTAAGCAATTGAGCAGTTAAAACTCCTATGTCGTATTTCAAATCATTTATAAAATTAAAAAGAAAATAAAAATTTCAATCCTATTAGGCATATGATTTTGCTATTCTGTTCTGCTGTGGAAAACTAAGTAGTCACTTGTTTAAAAACTAAGATGGGCCAGGTGCGGTGGCTCAAGCCTGTAATCCCAGCACTTTGGGAGGCCGAGGCAGGTGGATCACAAGGTCAAGATATCGAGACCATCCTCGTCAACATGGTGAAACCCCGTCTCTACTAAAAATACAAAAAATTAGCTGGGCATGGTGGCACGTGCCTGTAATCCCAGCTACTCAGGAGGCTGAGGCAGGAGAATTGCCTGAACCCAGGAGGCAGAGGGTGCAGTGAGCCGAGATCGCGCCATTGCACTCCAGCCTCGATAACAAGAGCAAAACTCCGTCTCAAAAAAAAAAAAAACTAAGATGAAGCAGACATAACATAAACCAAACTAAATCAAAACAACAGTTTTAAGACATATTATGCATGCATGAATTTCGTTACAGAAGATTATAGTTAAAATACTACTGAGTGTACTCACTTCAAGTGCTGTGTAAAAATAAAAATAGCTGAAGAGAGGGTGGTCAAACCTCAAAACAAGTACTATAACCACCACCCAAAAATGCAAAATAAAGGAAGTTGTCTTCTTCAGCGTTAAGAGGAGGGGAAAAATATTACTACTTACACAATTATAGTGAGAGGAAGTGGGGATGGAGAGAAAGAAAAACAATTCCATGCCCTTCCTAAATGTTTAAGAACAAATGCAATTTGCCATTACTAACACTAAAAAAGTAAAGCATTGTTATGTTACCTTCAGAAGCATTTTATCAGTATCCACAGACCTGCCTTTTAATTTGTACTAGTAAACTAAACTTACATTGCCTGAGCGTCTCTCTCTACCCCCCTCCCTTTCTCTTCACTTGATCTCACGCAAAAGTCAAATTATTTGTATGACTGCTACCAGAATTTTAAAAGAAACTGACACAACATAACCCACACAATATTAATTTTACCCTGTTTAGCCAGCCTCTAAATGCTTTAGGGAAAAAGAAAAATGTGCAGTATATAATTTAATTAGGTTCTAAAAACTCTTCACAAATTCGCATATACTTCTTACCTGTAACAACTCAACAGAGAAAAAAAATTCAAGGATGAAAAGGTTTTATTTACTTCTTCCCATACTGCAGGTAATGAGAATGGATGTTGTCCCTTACAAGTCACAGGTCAAACATAGGAAAGTATGGAGGAAAAAACACAAAGAAAAAAAAGCCAAACTTAGACCAAATGTAGCTGTGACAAAGTTAAATGGCTTCAACAGGAGAGAAAAAAAAAAAGTCTTGACAGGATTTTTAAAAAATAAAATCTACCCCACAGTAATGCTTACAAAATACACAAGGATAACAATAAAGAGAGAAAAATGGCCAAATGGCCAGCCACAGTAGCTCATGCCTGTAATCCCAGCACTTTGAGAGGCTGAAGTGGGAGGTGGGCGATTTCAAGAGTTCAAGACTAGCCTAACCAACATGAAGAAACCTCGTCTCTACTAAAAATACAAAATTAGCCAGGCATGGTGGCTCATGCCTATAATCCCAGCTACTCAGGAGGCTGAGGCAGTAGAATTGCTTGAACCCGGGAGGTGGAGGTTGCAGTGAGCCAAGATCGCACCATCGCACTCCAGCTTAGGCAGGAAGAGTGAAACTCCATCTCAAAAAAAAGAGAGTGAGAAAAATAACATCACAAATTTAGTTAAGCCAGGAAGACAAGTGTAAAAACATCAAACACGGTAAAATATACTTAGCAAGAGCTATAGTAAAATTTTAAAACACCAATAGGCAATAGTAAAAATAATATTTAGGCAACAAAAAAGTACAAATCAATGCAAGCTTAAAATTACTAGAAGAAAAACATCTATAGTATGTAAAGTAGTAAAATATACATATGATACAAAGTAATGAACAAAATCAATGCAGATGCAATACACATACACCTAATTTTATGTGTGTATACACACACACATACACACACACACACACACACAGAGGCACATATTTTTGAGATGGAATTTCACTCTTGTTGTCCAGGCTGGAATGCAATGACGCACTGCAACCTCCCTTCACCTCCCAGGTGCATGCGATTCTCCTCCCTCAGCCTCCCAAGTAGCTGTGATTACAGGCATGCACATGCACCATCATGCCCAGCTAATTTTATATTTTTAGTAAAGATGGGGTTTCACCATGCTGGTCAGGCTGGTCTCAAACTCCTGACCTCAAGTGATCCACCTGCCTCAACCACCCAAAGTGCTAAGATCACAGGTGTGAACCACCATGCCTGGCCAAAATTATGTATTTTAAAGCAGAGACAGATCCAACACAAAATAAAGTTAAGCTTTGAGACCCCTTGCATACACAGATACCTTTTCTCATTCTAAACAATTATTTGCATGTACATAATCTTGTATTTTCTTTCCTAAAGAGGGTCCCTCAGCTTTAAGCCCCCTCACACTTGGCTCTGATTCCTGCAGTAAATAGCCAAAACATACCTTTTTCTAATTTCTAAAACTTGCAAATTTCTGGCCATGATGCCAAAAGTAAAATAGAACAAAAAAGCAGAAATCAACAAAGACTTAAATTTTAAATAGATACTAAAAATTCACATGATGAAGGGACACATTTCACTTTAGAAAATTAAAAAACAGGAACAGGCACAGTGGTTCACGCCTGTAATCCCTGCACTTCAGGAGGCCGAGGTGGGATGTCATCTGAGCCCAGGAGTTCAAGGACAGCCTGAGCAACATAGTGAGACTTCATCTCTGTAAATAAAAATAAAAATAAATTAGCCAGGTGTGGTGATACATGCTTATAGTCCTAGCTACTCAAGAGGCTGAAGCAGATGGACTGCTTTAGCCCAAGAGTTGGAGCCTACAGTAAGCTATCATTGTGCCACTGCACCCCAGCCTGGGCAACAGAGTAAGACCCTGCCTCTTAAAAGAGAAACAAACAAACAAAAAAATTTAAAAACAAGATTCAACAAATATCCAAATGACTAATGTAGTATTCACAGTGAAATGTGAATGTGTTCATTAAAAGATGGAAAAACACAGCAATGAATTATGATTTTAGAAAACAAACCCAAAGGAAAACAGAACAAAATAAGGAAAAATACAAGGTCTATTCATTGATAGTCCTGATAATTTAAGAACTGCTTCCTGGCCAGGCTCAGCAGCTTACATCTTGTAATTCTAGCACTTTGGGAGGCCCAGTCTACACAAAAAATTTTAAAATCAGTCGGGCATGGTGGCACACACCTGTAGTCCCAGCTACTCTGGAGGCTGAGGTGGGAAAATCGCTTCAGCCAGGAAGGTCAAGGCTACAGTGAGCCATGATTGTGCTACTGCAATCCAGCCTGGAAGACAGAGCAAGACTCTGTCTCAATTAAAAAACAAAAAACTGGTTTCTTGGGGGGGAGGTACACCATTCTCAGAAACTTAAATGAGTACCACTAATAGGGGACTATTCTTAATCATTTCAGATTCCCCGAAAAAGCAGAAGCAGTATGGTGACATGTAGTTAACACTAAAAAAAAAAAAGAAAAATATTCAGATGATATAAATATTTAAGGGAAAGAGGCTGTAACAAAAATAAGATACTTTTTAACCACAGTTGTACAATAAAGTTGAGAAGCTTAAGACGTTTTCACACCAAATTTTTAGGAACATATTTACACATAAAGCTTGTATTTCAAGATATAGAAAACTGAATAAACAGATGATGAATTTGACAAAATTATCTATCACCAATAGAAGTAACTGTAGTTAATAACAATGGTACATTTTGTTCGTTTTTTTGTTGTAGAAACAGTTCACTCTTAAGTCAAGCTGGGGTGCACTGGCGTGATCGTAGTTCACTGCAGCCTCAAACTGCTGGGCTCAAACAATCCTGCTGCCTTAGCCTCCCAAAGTGCTGTGATTACAAGCCTAAGTCACTGCGCCTGACCCTAAATCCAGATTTTTAAAGAACATAAAATTTAAAGCTCTGGAAGAATATAAAGATGAACATACCACCCCATTCATCCTTCAAGTCAAATATAATCTTGGTCACAAGCTTCTGTGTACCCAGAAAGTGGAAATAAAAAGCAACACCCATACAATTTAATAAAATTAAGTTCTGGTCTGGGCATGGTGGCGCACATGTATAGTCCCACCTACTCAGGAGACTGACAGGAGGATCACTTGAGCTCAGAAGTTCAAGTCCAGCCTGGGCAACCTAGGGAGATCCTCATCTCTTATTTAAAAAAAAAAAAAAAGTTCTGGCAAGTCAACTAAAGAAAGAGAATGTAAGTATTGGAAGAGAAGGAACAAATGAAAAGTCAAGCTATGGACTGCAAGAAACTGTCTGCAATACACAGCTGGTAAAGGGTTTGTGCTCCAAATATGCTAAGAAACTTTACAACTCAGCAACACAAAGCAACCCAATTTTTAAAAGATACAAAAGATTTAAACAGACACAAAAGAAGCTATACAAATGGCCAATAGGCACATAAAAAGACGCTGAATACCATTAATCATCAAGGAAAAGCTATTTAAAACCACAGTGAGATACCACAGCACAGCCACCAGACTGACTAAAATACCCAGTACTGGTAAGGATCCAGAGTAACTGGAATTTCCATACCCAGTTGCTGGGAATGTAAAATGGTACAACCATTTTATAAGAAACGACCAGTTTCCCAAAGTTAAACATACACTTACCATATGACCCAGTAATCATAATTTGGTATTTATCCAAAAGAAATGAAAATGTAAGTCCAAACAATGACTTGTACATCAATGTCTGGGGCAGCTTTATTCATAGTTCCCGAACACTGGAAACAACCCAAACGTTCTATCAATAAGCAGACAAATAAACTGTGGTACATCATACAATGAAATACTGCCAAACAATAAAAAAGAACAAACTACTAGCCAGGTGTGGTGGTGTGCACCTGTAGTCCCAGCTACTTGGGAGACTGAGGCAGGAGGACCACTTGAGACTGGGGAGATTGAGATTACAGTGAGCCGTGATGGCATTCAAGCCTCAGCAACAGAGTGAGACCTTGTCTCAAAAACAGTAATAATAATAATAATGAAAAATAAAGAACTAGAGAAACAAGCAATATCATAAATGAATGTCAAAATCATTATGCCAAGCCAAAACATCCAGACACAAAAGAGTACACACTGTACTCTTTTACATTAAGTCTAGAAACAGGCGAAACTGAACTATGGGAATAAAAAGTCAGTATAGCAGGAAGGGAGACCAGCGATCTTCTTGGATAGACAGAAATGTCCTATATTGTGCTTGTAATGATGGTTACACAAGTGTGAACAGTTCTCAAAACTCACATGACAATACACTTAAAAAAGTGTACACTTTAACATGTGGTTACTACCCGTAAGAATGTAAACAAGAATAGGAGGTAAACAGGAAGTTTTTACTTTTTACTTTATAAGCCTTTGTATTGCTTGCATCTTTACAAATCATAACATTAAAATGTTTTATTTTTAATGACTCATAAATATTTCACTCAGTTTTTCAGGCAATTAAAAAAAAAAACCACACATACATATCATCATTGGAGCAAAACAGAAAGCCAAGAAACAGAACTCCTTATAAAAGATACAATACACAAGAAAATCTGAAAATAGAAAATAAAAGAATTACAAATCAGATCTTTAAAAAAAATGATCTTCTAAGCTTTGAGTGACAGAGGAAATCTTGATTTGTACTCTACTGTGTATGTTTCGGCACACAATAGAGAAACTAACTGAAGTAAATATAAAACACCCAGAGGCTTTTCCAAGTAAGCTAACAGATATTGGGCAAAGACATGAACAAATCATACAAGAAAAAAATCAAGAGTAAAAATAAGAATCAGAGTTCCCTGGAAACCATAACAATACAAGCCAAAAAATGTTTAAATATCATTTTATATCAATTAGCAAAGCTATTTATAATTTTTTTCTTATAAAATAATTAGACCACTGTAAAAACTTTATAAAAGAATAAAGAAGATAACTCAACAATTGGGTCAATTTTTATTTCTTCCCATTGTTTACCGATTATTTTTAAAATGAAAAATAGCACAAAAAGTATTTTTTCTTCAGGTAAATCACAGTATAAGCAACTTCTTATGTCATCATTGAGACAGGGTCTAGCTCTGTCACCAGAATGGAGTGCAGTGGCGCTATCTCAGCTCACTGAAACCTCTGCCTCCCAGATTCAAGTGAGTCTCCTGCCTCAGCCTCCTGAGTAGCTGGGGCCACAGGTGCGTACCACCACACCCAGCTAATTTTTGCATTTTTAGTAGAGACAGGGTATCACCATGTTGGCCAGGATGGTCTCGATCTCTTGACCTCCTGATCTGCCTGCCTTGAGATCTCTGCGTGCTGAGATTACCCATACCCATATATATTTCTAAAATAATTTTTGGTTTTTTTTGTTTTGTTTTGTTTTTTGTCACCCAGGCTGGAGTGCAGTAGCATGATCTCAGCTCACTGCAACCTCCACTTCCTGGGTTCAAGCAATTCTCCTGCCTCAGTCTCTCGAGTAGTTGGGATTACAGGTGTATGCCATCATGCCCAGCTAATTTTTATATGTTTAGTACAGATGGGGTTTCACCATTTTGGCCAGCTTGGTCTCAAACTCCTGATGTCAGGTGACCTGCCTGCCTCAGCCTCCCAAAATGCTGGGATTAACATGCGTGAGCCACCATGCCTCGCCTCTAAAATAATTTTTATAAGATACACGGATCTTATAAGTGTATCTTATAAAATACCGATCTGCTTTAAGTCCACTAAAGAGCCATATTTATTCATTGTTCTATTTAAGACAATTCGAGTATATCACTATTATAAGTCATGTCATGATAAATATCACTGTAGATAGATATTTATGGTTCTTACCTCTGGAGGTGTGTTTATCAAGTCAAAGAAAAAGGTGAGGCTACTGATAAATAACACCAAACTATACTAGAAAGCTACACCAATTACATTACCTTAAGAGTTTTAAAAATTCCTTTTCCTTATAAAACATATTGGGTGTTCAGTAAAGAAAACCCAGACACAGAAAAGAAAAAAAACAAAAATAATTAAAATCATCTGTAATTCCACCATTCAGGGATGCCCACTCTTAGTGTCCTATTTTCCTATGCATATGTAATTAAATCTATACTGTACTGTGAATTCAGTTTTATAATCTGTTTTCTCCCCCCCCACACTGCCCTTTTTTTTTTGAGACACGGTCTCACTCTGTTGTCCTGGCAGCGATCACAGCTCACTGAAACCTCAACTTCCCTGGGCTCAAGTGATGGTTTCATCTCTGCTTCCCAAGTAGCTGCCACCACAAGCAAGTGCAGCATGCCTGGCTAAACTTTTTAGAGACAGGGTTTCGCCATGTTGCCCAGGCTGGTCTCAAACCCCTGGACTCAAACAATCCACTTGCCTCCATAATGTGCTGGAATTCCAGCCATGAGTCCCCTCACACAGACCCCGCCCTTACTTTTAATGAGCATTTTCTGCTTACCAGTCTTTTTAATGACATGGACTATTATTTAATCCATTGTCATTATTGAACATATAGGCTATTTCTACCATTATTTAATCCATCTTCATTATTGATCATATAGGCTATTTCTAATTTTTTTAATATAAGTAACAGTCAAATCTTTGCACATATAGCAAATTACTTCATCAGGAAAAGTTACCTGGAAAATAACTACTAAGTCAAAATCTATGAAATTTAAGACTTCATTCAGCTTGTTGAGTTACAATCTCAATAGCAGCATGGGAGTGCCCACTTTACCTGTAACAGGTAGTATTTAATCTGCATCAATTTGATAATTTTAAAATGGTTTATTGTTTTACTTTGTCCTATTCAATGAGGGCTAACAATTTTAAATGTTTATTGATTTGTTTTTCAACTGCTCACCTTGCTGCCATTTTTCTTTTAAGATATAATTATCAACCTATAATCCAATAAAAAAAGAAAAAAAAAAGATATAAGAATTATTTGTAACATCAGCAAATTTAGTTTTAAAATGCAATTCTTTTTTGTTGTTGTTTATATCCATTAAGTTATATAACAATTCTGATACAGCTATAATGTAACCTATTCAATTACTGATGGAGGGTAAAACTTTATTTTTCTTTTTGAGATGGAGTCTTGCTCTGTCGCCCAGGCTGGAGTGCAGAGGCACCATCTCGGCTCACTGCAACCTCCACCTCCCAGATTCAAACAGTTCTCCTGCCTCAGCCTCCCGAATAGCAGGATTACAGGTGCCTGACACCACACCTGGCTAAACTTTTTGTATTTCTTTTTTTCTTTTTTTTTTTCTTTTTTTTTATTGCATTTTAGGTTTTGGGGTACATGTGCAGAGCATGCAATACAGTTGCATAGGTACACACATGGCAGTGTGTTCTGTTTGCTTTCCCCCCTTCACCCACATTTGGCGTTTCTCCCCAGGCTATCCCTCCCCACCTCCCCCTCCCACTGGCCCTCCCCTTTTCCCCCCAATAGACCCCAGTGTTTAGTACTCCCCTCCCTGTGTCCATGTGTTCTCATTTTTCATCACCCGCCTATGAGTGAGAATATGCGGTGTTTCATTTTCTGTTCTTGTGTCAGTTTGCTGAGAATGATGTTCTCCAGATTCATCCATGTCCCTACAAACGACACGAACTCATCATTTCTGATTGCGGCATAATATTCCATGGTGTATATGTGCCACATTTTCCCAATCCAGTCTATCATCAATGGGCATTTGGGTTGATTCCAGGTCTTTGCTATTGTAAACAGTGCTGCAATAAACATTCGTGTGCATGTGTCCTTATAGTAGAACGATTTATAGTCCTTTGGGTATATACCCAGTAATGGGATTGCTGGGTCAAATGGGATTTCTATTTCTAAGGCCTTGAGGAATCGCCACACTGTCTTCCACAATGGTTGGACTAATTTACACTCCCACCAACAGTGTAAAAGTGTTCCTTTTTCTCCACATCCTCTCCAGCATCTGTTGTCTCCAGATTTTTTAATGATCGCCATTCTAACTGGCGTGAGATGGTATCTCAATGTGGTTTTGATTTGCATCTCTCTGATGACCAGTGACGATGAGCATTTTTTCATATGATTGTTGGCCTCATATATGTCTTCTTTCGTAAAGTGTCTTTTCATATCCTTTGCCCACTTTTGAATGGGCTTGTTTGTTTTTTTCTTGTAAATCTCTTTGAGTTCTTTGTAAATTCTGGGTATCAGCCCTTTGTCAGATGGGTAAACTGCAAAAATTTTTTCCCATTCTGTTGGTTGCCGATTCACTCTAGTGACTGTTTCTTTTGCCGTGCAGAAGCTGTGGAGTTTGATTAGGTCTCATTTGTCTATTTTGGCTTTTGTTGCCAATGCTTTTGGTGTTTTGTTCATGAAGTCCTTGCCTACTCCTATGTCCTGGATAGTTTTGCCTAGATTTCCTTCTAGGGATTTTATTGTGCCAAAACCCGGAAGAGACCCAACAAGAAAAGAAAACTTCCAGCCAATATCCATGATGAACACAGATGCAAAAATCTTCAATAAAATATTGGCAAGCCAATTGCAACAGCAAATCAAAAAACTTATTCATCACAATCAAGTAGGATTCATCTCGGGGATGCAAGGCTGGTTCAACATACGCAAGTCTATAAACGTAATTCACCACATAAACAGAACCAAAAACAAAAACCACATGATTATCTCAATTGATGCAGAGAAGGCATTCGACAAAATTCAACAGCCCTTTATGCTAAAAACCCTCAATAAACTCGGTATCGATGGAACGTATCTCAAAGTAATAAAAGCTATTTATGACAAACCAACTGCCAATATCATACTGAATGGGCAAAAACTGGAAGCATTCCCTTTGAAATCCGGCACTAGACAAGGATGCCCTCTCTCACCACTCCTATTCAATATAGTACTGGAAGTTCTAGCCAGAGCAATCAGGCAAGAAAAAGAAATCAAGGGTATTCAAATAGGAAAGGTGGAAGCCAAATTGTCTCTATTTGCAGACGACATGATAGTATACCTAGAAGACCCCATCGCCTCAGCCCAAAAACTCCTGAAACTGATAAGCAACTTCAGCAAAGTCTCAGGATATAAAATCAATGTGCAAAAATCACAAGCATTCGTCTACACCAATAAGAGACTTAAAGAAAGCCAAATCAAGAATGAACTGCCATTCACAATTGCTACAAAAAGAATAAAATACCTTGGAATACAACTCACAAGGAACGTAAGAGACCTCTTCAAGGAGAACTACAAGCCACTGCTCAACGAAATCAGAGAGGACACAAACAGATGGAGAAACATTCCATGTTCATGGTTAGGAAGAATTAATATCGTGAAAATGGCTATACTGCCCAAAGTAATTTACAGAATCAACGCTATCCCCATCAAGCTACCATTGACTTTCTTCACAGAACTGGAAAAAACCACCATGAACTTCATATGGAACCAAAAGAGAGCCCGCATAGCCAAATCAATTCTAAGCAAAAAGAACACAGCGGGGGGCATCACACTACCGGATTTCAAACTATACTACAAGGCTACAGTAATCAAAACAGCATGGTACTGGTACCAAAACAGAGATATAGACCAATGGAACAAAACAGAGGCACCGGAGGCAACACAACATATCTACAACTATACAATCTTTGATAAACCTGACAAAAACAAGCAATGGGGAAAGGATTCCCTATTTAACAAATGGTGTTGGGAAAACTGGCTAGCCATGTGCAGAAAGCAGAAACTGGACCCCTTCCTGACACCTTACACTAAAATTAACTCCAGATGGATTAAAGACTTAAACATAAGAACTTTTTGCATTTCTTTAGTAGAGATGGTGTTTCACCATGTTGGCCAGGCTAGTCTTGAACTCCTGACCTTGTGATACACCCACCTTGGCTTCCCAAAGTGCTGGGATTACAGGCGGTAGCCACCACGCCCAGCTGGGTAAAAATTTTTTGAAAAGTATCCATACATACACACACATATACATAAACAATAGATTAGTCTGTCTCCTATATCAAAGAAAATTATCTAGCTGGTTCTTCCTTGTTTCTAAAAACTCTCCTGCATCCATAAACATGGCCATATAAATATCCTTTCCACCCTTCTAGGGGGTTAAAAAAAAGTATATTATTCTGTCCAACTTTTATCCTTCAGTTCAAAACCAAATCTCCTCCAACCTTCTCAAAGATCCTTGCCGTCACCAACTGTCCCTCCTCCCAACATCTTCCCTATTGTACTAGCTTTTTCCTCATCATATAAATATGGTACCTTCTTTTCTGAAAACATTCAGATGCAGCACTGCACTACTACCACCGTCCCCTTCAACGTCTGCTCTTACCTTCCTTCTTTCTCCTCCATCAACATTTTTCTTGATTGCTCATCCAGTGTAGTCTGGCTTCTAGTCCCATTGTTCCATAACACTGCTCTCTATGACATGTTCATTGCTGAATCTAACCTTACAATTTTCACTGTCAGATTATTTACCAATCTAACATGTACTCTGTTGAACACTCAAAACCATTCCTGAAACTGTCTTCTGGTTTCTGTAACTCCTAACATGATTTGTGTCTCTAGTTCTCCAGTGGGTTCTGTTCAGTCATCTTGTTCTTTTTCTTTTTCCAGACTCCCTTTCAAAGGCAGCCTTCTAGAGTTCCATCTTGATCCAGCAGACCTCCTTAATATTGGTGACCCTAACCTCACAAACTAGCTTCACAAATCCTTACTTTACATTCCCAAATCTACCTCTGCACCTAGATCTCTTATCTACATTTCTCTTCTGATTACAAAAAGGGATATATACCTTCATATGGAGGCCCCTGAAGCATCTCAAACTCAACAGGTTCAGAAGTGAACTCATTATAAAATTAAGCTGAATGACAAAACTACTTGCAATTTGAATCATAAGGCATAAAAATATAAATCTATTTTTTGAGCTAGTAGAGAAATAAGAATGGAAACAAAATCAAAACTCTAGAAGAAAACATCAATTACAACATTACTTAATAAGCCAAAAAGCCCTTGAAGTAAATTTTAGTTCCGAAAAGATAGAGTAGACGTACTTTTTCCTATTCCTCCTGCTGAGAAATTTAAGATGTGACAAACATAAGATTCTGAAAGTTGGGGAGGGAAGGCATAGAGAGCAATGCTTTGGAATCCAAGAAACACCACTGTGGTGAGTTTCCTGGGTTTTTTTTACAACATATATCCCAGAGTTGGAGTTGAAAAAGCCAGCAACATGGAAATGCCAACAGGCACAGACCAAAAAAAGCCCCAACAAAAGAATGCTCTCTCAAAGGACCAGAATAGGATGTCCCAGCAAGATGGAAAACGTTTAGATGACAACTGCTCTACCCCCGCCAGACGCCACAGAAAGAAACCTCTGCCCACATCAGGGAAGGCCAAGTAGGGATTCCAGAATCCCACACTCAAAAGGCTGTAAAGAGGCACCCCAACACGCTACTGTAATGATGTCAGAGAAGACCAAGTGGGAGCTAAGACTTTCATCCCAAGTGGCTAGTGTGAACCTCCCTCTCCCAGCAGTGTCAGTGGACTTCCATCTCCACCAGGTAGTAACAAGAAGTGTCCCCACACTTTGGACTTAATGGAGACTGAACAGGGGATCTAGATACCTGCCTCCACCTCATAGTAACAAGGCAGCACTTTCCCTCTCCTGCCAGTGGTATCCAAGAAAGCCAGTCTAAAAAAGATATAGAGCCACACAACAAAATATGAAAATGTACAGGTTTCACAAGAAAAACCCAAAGAACAGGAAGATCCCAAACCAAATGACAAAAACACAGTTGGCAGACACCAACATTGAGATAGCAAAGATGTCAGAATTACCTGGCAAACATAT